GTGTAATTTTAGAACCTACTAAAATTTGCAAACTGACAGCTAGAGGGAGCCAAACTGATAAAGAAACAGAAATGACACCCTATATCCTGGGCTGATTCGTCTTCCTGCACAGATTCAAAAGGAGCCCTATGTGAGGATTAATCACTTTTGGGAAAAGTATATATTTTTTATTTTCTTGAACTAACATAATTAACACATTCAGTGTCTAAAAAAGGTAAACAACAAATGGGTTTCAACAAAAGGAAACCTTTCCCATTTGCCCCCCGGGGTGGAGTGGGGGTGCAGCAGGGAGTAGCACACAGACTTACATGAAATAGATGAATTCCAAAGTCTAAGACTGATTACGTAATGCATTTAACCTAACGTTATAAACAAGAATCTAATCTGAGAGATGGTTTTAGTGAGCCTGAAACAGCACAGGAAATCTCCCAAATCTCTCCTCTCAGCCCAGGAGATGTCATCCTCCCCAGTGGTTCTCTCATTAGAGGGGATATCTTAGCACACATTTGTCTTGCTGTTGCTCCCCAGATCTAAAAGAGAAAGGATTTTTCTATTTTCCCTTTCCTTTTCAAGGGATTCCCTTACACTCTGGTTTAAAGTAAAGTTGTTCTACTTTTAAATTTTTCAAATGATCATCCATTGTTCAAAATTATGTGCTTATAATAATCTATGAGCCAGCCAGATTTGCCTCTTGAAACATAAAGAGAGAGTATTTGGAATTTAGAAAGTCCATTCTCTTTGAAAACCTGTTTTGTAAGTGTGATCTTCAAAATTCTCAAATGCAAAGACAAGACTGCAAGAAATATGTAATATTGTCTCTTTGCCTTTCTGCCATAAGAACGATAATCTGACCTAAGGCAAATGGATGCTGCCAACAGAAGAGAGGGAGGTCATATACCTGGAGGTACAAGGAGAAAAATACATCATGTATTTTAAAGGTAATATCCATTACAGTGATTATTCAGCTCCAAAGTCAACCCAGCTTTATCAAGTATTTCTTACACCTGATGTTTACCCAGTGGTTATTCAGATACAAGCAAACAAATAGTTCCCAAGTTCTTGCACATATAATCTCAAGTAAGATGTACAAATGTCCCTATTATTTGGAGGTCATTCAACCCTCCACAAACATTGGAACAAACAAATGGAAAATATTTCTCCATGCCTGAAGTAAAAGTATAGTAGAAGATTAACTAGGAATCTAAATGGAAAAATAATTTTTCTTTTTTTAAAGATTTTATTTATTTATTTGACAGAGAGAGAGAGAGAGAGAGAGAGAGAGAGATCATAAGTGGGTTGGGGGGGCAGAGGGAGAGGGAGAAGCAGGCTCCCGGCAGAGCAGGGAGCCTGAGGTGGGGCTCGATCCCAGGACCCTGGGATCATGACCTGAGCTGAAGGCAGATGCTTAACCGACTGAGACACCCAGGCACCCTGGAAAAATAATTTTTCTAAAAGAATTTTTCAAATGATCATTCATTGTTAAAAATGATGTCACTGAAATAATGAAAGAACTCTTGATTGGGGGCAGGGGCATGGTGATCATGCCATCTGCTGGATGACTGGTTAATGTCAGACAACGCCCTGTGAGCGCTGGGAACCAGGTGATGGGCAGGACAGCCATCTTGCTAGTAACCCAGGAGCTGGAACAATGATATCTTGGGAGTTATTAACTGTTTTAAAAGATTGACTAGCAATTTGCAAGTATATAGTAAACATCTGTGGAAATAAAGACCAACAAAATGAGAAAAGCAAAAGCTATTTATTGTGAGCTTGCTATAGTAAGGGAGACAGCCGCAGTCCCTTATGTTTTGGCGGGGACTCAAAGGCAGGCAGAGGATTGGGCAAGCTTTATAAAGTGCACAGAGGGGAGGCTTCAGGAATGCCCTGTTGGAGGCTGTTCGCAGGGGGAGGCTGTAGGAAGGCTAACTAGAAGCAGGGCATCCTAGGTGACTGGTTAGGGTGCCTATTTGGCTTTCTCTGGTTGGTCATAAATCGGAAGCAGGGACAAAACTTAGGGAAGCTGTCAGTCATTAATCAAGTTCTGGCCATTTTAGGCTGATTGTTATAGAAGTTATTGTTTAGCTTCCTACATTGTCGGAGATAGCAATCTTGTTCCCTGTAAGTCTGATTTATAGTAGGCTGGCTTCCTGGGTTGTTTATTGTGGATAAGAGATTGGTTTCCTAAGCAGGTTGCTGCAGGTTGTGGGTCAAAGTTTTATTTTCATACATGGTCTGGCCGTTGCCCATTTGTATATTCAGTCTCTCATATCCCATTCTTTAATCTATATAACGGAAGGAAAAACTAATCAAACACACCCAAAAGGTGTTGGTGATAGGTCAATTTTAACATTTTAATCATCATGCTCTTTTAGAATTAAGATATTTAAACTTCAGATATATTCTTCATTCAAATAGGTCAAGGTGCAGATCCTATAGAGAAATCATTAATGTTCTGAAGCCAATGTCTTAAAATCATGCACTTTATCAGGTAGACTGCAAAGGTATATATACTATTATATACTATATAATAGAATCTAAGCTCCATGAAGGACAAAACTTTGTTTTGTTCTGCACTTTTTCCCTGGCACAAAGAGCAGGGTCTGATACATAGTAGGCACAAAAGAAATATTTATTGAATGAATTAATGCATGTTTCTAACTTTTTATAAATTTTATTTAATTGTGGTAAAATACACATAACATAAAATTTACCCTCTTAACCATTTTCTGGTAGACGGTTGAATAGTGTTGAGTATGTTCACATTGCTGTGCAACCAATCTCTAGAACTCTTTTTATCTTGCAAAACTAAAACTCTGATCCATTAAACAACTCCCTGTTTTCCCTTCTCCCAACTCCCCAACCTGTCTTTACAGTGTTTGTCTTTTGTGACTGGCTTATTTCACTTAGCATGGTGTCCTCAAGGTTCATGCATGCTGTGCATGTGACAGGATTTCCTTCCTTTTGTTAACCTCTTTCTCACCCCACCCTCCCAGTAGGAAAGATATAATCTGAAAATAATGAACTCATAACAGTGTCCTTGTTTCTCTTACTTCCCTCATTTTCAGCATTTGGAAAGGGGTTCTCACCATAAGCCTCATTTTTCTCATCTGTAAAATGGAATAATAATATATACACATGCACACGCACACTGATCTAGCCCTCATGCTTGATGCAAAGCAGGAAGTGAGAGGCTACCAGTCCTCTCCCCTGATCCTCCTCTTGAGCTGTTTTTTTCCTCATTCCATCTCCCCCTACTCAATTCCTTTCTCTCCTTTTTTGACCTTCTTGGGACCTAAAAGAGGGAGGGAACAGAAAAGAGCCACTACATAGGATTTCAAAGGACTTTACTAGGGGGCAGAGTAGAGAGATGCGTGAGGGGTGGGTCTTGAAATGCACAGGTCAAGGTCTAGGTGGGAATGATCACTGTGCCCAGGACAATGTAGGACTCTGGCGGGGGCGGGGGGGAGGTGGGAATCCTTATAATAATATTCTATCATATGGATATACTACATTTTGTTTATCCATTCATTTGTGGGGTTTTTTGCTTGTTTTAAAGATTTTATTTATTTATTTGAGAGAGAGAGTGTGCACATGGGCAAGGGGGAGGGGCAGAGGGAGAGGGAGAAGCAGGTTTCCTACTGAGCAAGGAGCCCGATGTGAGACTTGGTCCGAGGACCCTGGGATCATGACCCGAGCCCAAGGCAGATGTTTAATTGACTGAGCCACCCAGGCATCCTATCCATTCATTTGTCAATGGCCCCTTGGGTTGCTTCCAACTTTTGGCTATCCTGAAGAGTTCTGTTATGAATGTGAGTGTACAAATATCTCTTTGAGAGCCTGCTTTCAATTCCTTTGGGTAGATATTGAGAAGTGGAATTGCTGAATTATATGGTAATTCTACTTCTATTGAGGGGGAGTGCAATAGTATTTTCTATAGCAACTGTACTATTTTACATTCTTACCAATGGTGCACAGGCAGGTTTCTTTTTTTTTTTTTTAAAGGTTTTATTTATTTATTTGAGAGAGAGAGAGAATGAGAGAGAGAAAGCACATGAGAGGGGGGAAGGTCAGAGGGAGAAGCAGACTCCCTGCTGAGCAGGGAGCCCGATGCGGGACTCGATGCAGGGACTCCAGGATCATGACCTGAGCCGAAGGCAGTCGCTTAACCAACTGAGCCACCCAGGCGCCCCACAGGCGGGTTTCTAACTCAAGTTTGGTTACCTGGTTTGTTGCCCTGGAGCAGATTAGAAGCAGTGAATTAGAAGGAGTCAGCAAGTAAAATAATAACATGAAGTATCATCTGGCGATCTAATATTGAGTGATGAAAAGTTCTAAGAAACAAAATTGGTACTGGATTATTACAATATTCAATAATGGATACTCTTAACGATGCTCTGGAGCTGGAATTGAAAAGCAAGTTATGTTTGATTTCCATTATATAAGGAGGCAGGCATCTACATATATTTTAGAAATATATCCATTGATAATCTAATTATGTAGGTATTGAAGAGTTTAATTTTATTATTATTTCAAAAACTAAGAGTTCCATCAAAAATAGCAAAATTTTTTTAAAAGACTTTATTTATTCATTTGACAGAGAGAGAGCACAAGCAGGGGGAGCAGCAGAAGGAGAGGGAGAAGTAGGCTCCCTGCTGAGCAGAGAGCCCAACACGGGGCTCGATCCCAGGACCCTTGGATCATGACCTGAGCCGAAGGCAGACACTTAACCAACTAAGCCATCCAGGCGCCCCTTTTTTGTTGTTGTTTTTTTTAAAGATTGAAAAAATGGTGAAATATTTTGAAAGATTGGTCTTTAATGAGGTAATTTTCATTTATCCAGAAATTTCACTTACATGGAATGGAGCCCTTCCCTATAATGCCATATTAGTGGGATGTTACTATTTCCATATATAACAGTCATACAGATGCCTTTTCAAATATAAATCGTGACGTACTAAGTACAAATAGTAAACTAAAACAACATTTTCAGTTAATGGTGTCTGTGTGATTGCAAAATGTTTATTGATTAAGGAAAGAGGGAATCCATTTAGCTGGGAACAATCTTGGGGAGTTGAATAGTAAGATATATAGGACACTTGAGGGCTGATGTTAGACTTTTCAGGCTACTATAGGATTCCTCAGGTTGTATCCTTTCTCTTCTCATCTCATCTTTCTCCAACCCAAATTTACAAACCAAACCATTGAAGAATGACAAGTCTAGCAATGAATTACCATTTTGGGTGCATATATTGAACTGCCTCCTGTAAGGAATGCCAGGAATCTGAAGAAAGCTAGGAGGTAACATATGCCCTGAGGGGGGTCATGACATAGTTACGACACATAAGGGGCATTATTACAGTGTTGTGAGGGGCTGCACAGGGGAGGAATGGGTAAGAGTCAGGGAGAGATGTGCGCTCCCTCCCATGCTGGAGCCACTGCCACCTCCCCATTCACAGCTGGCTGGCTGACAGGCTTGTCCAGAGGCAGCGAGGCAGAGGCATGGCGGTGAGCACTGTGCATGGAGAAACGTGAGAGGATCCGGGCCACAGGTCACTAGGAAGGATAGGTGATCTGGGAGTCAAGCGTAATGTTCGTCAGAAAGGTTGGTGGGGGTTCACCAACAGAGACTGAAGCCAGGGAGATAAGCAAGGTTAAGGAACTCAAAGGGATCTGAATAGAAGGTATTGAAACTGAGAATAAACAAGTAATTAATAGTTAAAATATCAGGAGTCGCTCAAGTATGTGTGGGGAATATCACAAACAATGAGGCTGTAATTTCATCTCTTGAGTTGGGAAAAAGCTGCTATCACTTTGTTTGCTACACAACATGGTTCCTTTGTAAAGGAGGGTGCATTGTTATTCCAGGTTCACGGGTGAGGAAACTGGGCAGTGAACCCAAGCCCCTTCAGTCATATCAACATCAGAAGCTGAGCTAGGACTGGAATTCACTGCCCTGGAGCTTTTTGCTACCAGGTGAGCCCTGATCCTGTAATTTTCCAGTGCTAAAAAATCTCTTCTTTCCTAGGAAAAGCTTTTGTTTCTAATAAATGTATTATGTTTTAATGGGCAGTGGGTTGTGGGGACAGGTAACTTGTACAAACATATCCAGTAAAAGTCCTCAGCAATGTTGGCTTAGAAGTGGCCTGAATTTACGTGACTTGGTTGTTTAAAGTCTTGTTTAGAGACACTAGGTTTTTGATGCCTTACACTGAGACTTCTACTCAGTAATACAGTTTCTATATTAACCAGTAAGTATGTGCTGGACTAATGATTTTTATCTAAAATGACGGTATTCATCTGTCTTTTTAGGCAATAAAGCAAGGGCTTTTTCATGTATGCTTGACCTTCAGTGGAGATTGCAGAAAATCACAAATGTAAGACTATTGAGATTGTTGTTGTTTAAAAGCTTTTTAAAAAATAACTAGATTGATAGAAAATGAGTCTCGGTCACATTTTATTTTTTACCTGAAAGTTCCTTTATTTGGTAGTTGAATCTTAAAACCTGAGTTACTTCTAGTTAGTTACAAACAAAATAGTTCAAGGCACCTGCTGTATTCTAGAATGTTCCACAAACAAGTGTAGTTTAGGATTTGTAATAATAATTAATAAGATACCATGGTGGAATGGACTAATTTCTTCTCCCTACCTCACCTTTTATGGTAGGGAGTTCTTGTAGAAAAAATGACCTGGGAGCTTTACAGAGGATCCTCTGGGTTCTAAAGTGAAGGGCGGAATGAAGCCATGAAGATCAGAAACCTAAAAGGCATGTTTCTCAAAATATGGCAGTCCATTTGTCATCAATCAGAGAATATTCCTGGGCCTCATTCTTGTACTACTTGAGTGAAAATTTGAGGGAGAAAAGTTTGCTATTGTGCACATTAAACAAGCTCATCAGGTGGTTTTGTGCATGTTACTTTTGAGAACCATTGCATTTGAAGAGGTAAGACCAGATTCTTGTTAAGGTCAATTCTGCCTAACACAGGTCTTCCAGATATTCTTATCATTTCCATGATCTCTTGATGAGAAATGTTTCACCTAACTTTTTTAACACTCCTGAAGAAACAGATTTATGTGTATTTGTAGCATTCCTTTTCAATAAATGAAAATACATCTGGGAGGATTAGAGGGGTTCTCACCTATGTTCACATCTCACACCTGACAGACAGTTGCTCTGGCATCGGGGAAGTTTGAGTTAAGACAGTGTTTCTCAAGCTCAAGTATTTAATGGGCTCCTTTTAAGGAAAAAAATGTGAACCTCAGAATTGTGACTTAAGTTTATTTTTTATAATACTACATATATGAACAAATATAATATTAGATATTAACTAGTTATGAGGCTAAATCTTACTGATGTCTGAAGCCTAAGCAAGATGTACAAGTGAAACACAAACAAAACTATAAAACTAACAAAAATTCAAATTGGCAACATTGATGCAAGACAGCTGCTGTTGTTTGCTGGAACTAAATTGTTCGTGTTAAGTTTATAGCAGAAAGATGTAGCTTCGGGTCCAATTCTATTTTTGATTAAAGTAACATGACTACAGACAAGGCTTTGTTTGCTAAATCTGAAGAATTACACTTCGTACTTAACCAAACTTTCTAGCAAGTGATCCTAATGAGGTCTTCCTCCATCTTTCACACACCCACAGTCCTCTAGATCAGGGGCTTCTCTTTTTTCTGTAAAAGGCTAGATAGTAAATCCTTTAGGCTTTATAAGCTAAGAGGCAAAATGGAGGTAGATACTTACAGAATAAGAAAATGTCTTGTCACACAAACAGGTACTGCTGAATTGTGATATCAATCATAAGCATGTGATTTTAAGAACATTAACTACTTGAGCCATTTATAGAATTCTATGACGTTCTTTCCTTGATATGTGCCTTTTCGCATGTAATTGTAGATTAATTGGCTCAATTGACAGTTAAGTGGAAGCTCCTCAATTGTACAATGAATGGATTTTGAAATATGGGGCTTTTCCTTTGCATGTGGAGTGAGGTCCAAAAAATACTGCTGGAACTGTAGGTTGAGCTTGGAAAATATATTCTCTGCAAATTTGTGTGGGATAGAGATTTCACTTCTTGTTTTAATTTTTGACAACATAGGAAGTAAATACAGCAGTTTGATGTGACTTGTGAGTCAAACAACATTAGCTGTCATCAGAATGACTTGACTGCAGTGGAAGTTTTCTACAGAAGCGCAGCTTTGCCTTATGGTTTTAGGCTCAATTCGTTAAGAAGCATCAAGCCTGCAGCAAAAGCTAATTTCCAAAGTCATTCAGAGTTAAATCACAGTGACTGAAGAAAGTCCTCATTCAGAGAAATTTCAATCTTGACCCTGAGCTGAAAATAATCTCAATAAAATTTCATCACCTCTCAACCGTCACACTGCTGTGTGGTAGGGCAAGTAGAGATTTGCTTTCACTTATGACAAAATTTATAGAACTGAAGATTATTAAGTCTGTGAGAGTAGAAGTTCACTGTCGAAACTACCAATTCAAAAACACGTGTTATCAAATATGTTCCTCAGAAGTAACTGCTGATAAATAGTACAATGAACACAATGAGGTCTTTAAACACCTTGCATTTTCAAAAACTGCAAAATCATTCAACTAAGCCCTTTTCTTCTCCACATACATTTTTATCACCATCTGTAGTAGCACATCTTAGCAGATTCCACTTCAGGTTGTACTGGATTAGTATTTTCTCGCTGTTTTTGAAAATATTCTCAGTTATAATTGTTTCATGGAGACCATTCATAGAGCTGGAGCTCAGTGACTTCAGATCTGGCACTGACTCATTGAATAAACAACAACAACTGAACAGTATGTGGGTTTATCAAAAGCCAAGGAAGACCACTTGAAATCATTTGGCTTCTTTTTAAATTGACTATTGATGTTGCTTCCAATGTCCTCAACTCTTTGAGTAACTTTTTGCCCAAAAGTTAATCGTTTTAAACCAGTTTATTTTCTCTGGACATATTTCTTTGACTTGGAATCAAATATGACTTAATTAACACCATTGGTATATGACTTGCTTTAGCCAACAAACGAGCTATTTGGAAACTTTGGTTGCAGCTTCATTTCAAAAAATTTTGTGAAAAAATTCTACTATAATGAAGTATTCTTTCTTATACTTCCTGCTTTCTGTGACATGCTTTCCTGTGAGTTGGGAAAATTGTTATCAACAGAGGCTGTATTTTTAGCACAGCTATAACACCACTTTATAATAGATACAGTTCCTTGTCATCCAATTTGATGACAAAATAATCCACACTGCATTATGTCTTACAAGTGTAATATTTGAAGTTTACTTTTCTCTCCATTTTTTGTCTTGATATGATGGGCATGCCCTGGTCATAAAAAATTATAAAAGGCTGTGTTATGGCAATATGCATGGCAATCAAAATGCTGTTGAATTAAAGCTGTGTCACTGTGTTTTGAGGTGGGCTGAGCAGTTTGCAAAGCAATACAGTACCACCTACCGTTCTGTCACAATGACTCAGCTGTCACTGAAGTACAAAATGTGTAGACAGATGAGTATGGCCATGTTTCAAGAAAGCTTTATTTACAGACACTGAGAAGAATTTCATGATGTTCACATCACAAGATACTATTCTTCTGATTTCTTTTCCGGTCATTTAGGAATGTAAAAACCACTCTTAGCCTGAGGACCACACAAAAACTGGCAACAGGTGGGATTTGGCCCACAAACTATAGTTTACCCACCACTGCCCTAGATTTAAACACAGGCCTTTTAAAAAATTATGACCTTAACTTCTGTCATCCCTCCCAGAGTGGAGTTGTATTTTCAGCCTAAATCCTTAAAAGTAGAAAAAAATGTGGTCTCCTAGACATTTCAAGCACAAGCAACCAGCATAGTTTTTGAAAAGGAGACCCTGAGATATCACATCGCTATGGAAATTCACTTGCTTTTCTCACCCCTAGGACAGTCTTCCACTAATGTCTCAGAAAGAAACCAAAGCCAGCAAGGTCAGAGAAAGCACAATTTCTATGTCAGAACCGAGAATTTGATCCAGTTTGTCCTTTGTCTATTTCCATTTCCAATGCATTTTCTGTGCTTTTCTGGGCCCTTCTCCCCCCAAAGCACTTCTCACCCTCTAGCAGTATCATGTTACCTGATCATTCTTATCACAACCAAAGCAACTGATGAACTAATTCCTGCTAACTCTTCTCAGAATCCATTTAAGACAAGACTCCAAGAGGGAAGAGAATCTTGAATCATGGGTTTCATTTTGGGTCAAAGCACAGAGCAAATCTGACATGTAGGAGTCTACCTCCGGCAACACTGACCATGCTCCTGCCATAGCCCCATTCCAGGGTGGATTGAAACCATGCCATCATTCTCACTGGCCCCTCCCCTCTTGGAATTGTAGTAGTGTGTCAAGTCTAGGACCCAGATCAGGGACTAGGTTGAGAAAGCATCCAGTTGGCAAACCCTAAGATAAAAGTTTTTCCTGAGATAAAGGTTCTTAACATCAGCCATGCATGAGGACCACCTACAAAACTTTAGAAAAATGTGCCTGAGCCCCACCTGAGCTTGATCAGATGGTTTTCCATGGTTTAGAATCACTGCCCAGTCTCATCTCCAGGCAGGGCCTGTCACCAGGGCATAATTTCCTTCTACCACACCCAAATCCTGACTAAGGCTAACTGAAGGAATCTCTTTCAGGATCCCTGAATTACCTTAGAATCTAACAGTTACATTTAAAAATTGGGGGGATTCCTGCAAGGCTTGGTGTGTTAAATAATGAATAGCATAAGCATCACACCAAGCATATATTACAAAAAAGCATTTTTACTTTCTTAAAGTGGATGTTGAGAGATTTATGTCTCTAATTTTAAGAATGCTGATGATATGTCTGGGAACTGTCCACAATAAAAATCTTAGCAATTAAAGGATTAGATATATATTGAGAATATTAGTAGACTGCAGATATGTGGTAATGATGATAATAATGTGAGGAAATAATTTGGAGCATATTATGTACTAACCTATTTGTTTTCTTGACAAAGGGGGAAAAGTTAGATAAAGGGAGAAGAAAGTTGGAGATTAGGGTTTCTACAATACTTTTGGTTGGAGATCTCTGGGTTTTTTCTATTGTCACTTATTAAACTTAGGTTTGTGGTTTTTGTATTTAAATTATTTATTTCTGGGTGCCTGGGTGGCTCAGTCGGTTAATCATCTGCCTTTGGCTTAGGTCACGATCCCAGGGTCCTTGGATTGAGTCCTGCATCAGGCTCCCTGTTCAGTGCAGAGCCTGCTTCCCCCTCTGCCTGCCACTCCTCCTGCTTGTGCTCTCTCTCCCTTTCTCTCTCTGTCAAATAAATAATTAAAATCTTAAAAAAATAAAAATAAAATAAATTATTTATTTCTTTGGAGGCATTTTGCCTGTAGTGACTCCCA